GGCATTGCTCTCCAGCACCCTCCAGAAGTCCCCGCAGAAGTGCAGTCAGTCGCTGCCAGCTCTTTTACCTGCTGTGTGGGCATTCAGTATTTAATCTGGACCTGAAGTAGCGAGTGTTGGCGTACATTGTACTCCAGGTACTCAACTCCATTGGTAATTAAGAATTCCTGTATTAAAAACATCCAGAAAAGTGAATTGTGGGTCTGCACTGGTGCTTCAGCTTTAGTCCAACGTTCTTGCCAGTATCAGTAACACCAAGTATGCTGCCGGTGGTGCAACAGTCCTTTGGTGATCCACTGCGTATTGCGAGTTCCCTGGACCTTCTTTTTTCCCCACTTTTATTAGACTTCCCCAAACGATCATTTTAAACTATCACGGAGAACTCTCTTGAACTCCCTCCAGCATTTCGCATTGCCAGTTCTGGCACCAGGCTGCTCAAGTTCCACCTTTATGGGATTTTAGCAGCACCAAATCTTTATTCGGAGCATGAGAGAGTAAGACTGAAATTGATATTGAATTGAAAATGTAATATATTCCCATACAAATACTGGTGCCAAGATTGCAGCAGGAGTATATAGAATAGTATTTTCTGTCATTCGGTTTCCAGAGAAGAAGATGTACTTTCGAAATACAGATTTCAAAGTGTCTAAAGGCATGAGGATGCAAGACTTGAAGAAATGCACATGTTGAAATCCAAGTAGGACAGAACACTGCAAGCTACGGCTGAGCAGTCAGCGGCAGTAACTGAGGGTAACCCCACTCCACTCCCATTAGCCAACATACCTGTGCCAGTTTACAAACTGGTATGGAAAAAGGAAACGGAGAACAAGAAGTTTCCAAAGATCCCCACAACAGGCTGTTAGGTTACCTGCAAGTAACTCTGATAAGGGACCATGGAATGGAGCACTGCACAATCAGGTAACAGGCAGCTGTAACTTCACAAGCTGAGCTGCTACTTTTGGCTGTCATCTCCACGCTCACTTTTGCCTGCCTTTTTCCCACAGCACACAAAATTCCCAAACCCACTGGTTCCCGCAGGATAGAGGCAGCGGCACTGGCTTGACCAGCAGCTCTCCTCGCTGCTCACAGAAGTGAAGGATACCCAGCCCCGGTGAGCAAACACCTTCTGCCTCTCCCGCATGAAATGGTTCATCTCACAGATGAACGGGAACTGGCTTTTGTGCTAGAAGGATGTTTATGCCTTGCATAATTTATTTAAGGTCCTATCCTGCTTCCATCAGGCTCAAGAACAAGCCATTACATGTATTTCAAAGGTAGAGGGTCCGACTCCTTCGTTGAGGAGCTTCCCTGGACAGACACCCTGTCAGAGGGCTGGCAGGGGCCATCCTCCCCCTTTTTCCCCCCTCTCTCTTGCTTCTCACCCCCCGCTTGGTGTGATAAGAAGTGCAGAGCTGAGCAGCTTATGCACAGGACAGGAGAGCTCACAGGGGAAAGGGACCGGGCTCATCCCCCTCCAGAAAAGCAGGTATCGAGACACAACTCACCGCTAACCCCCAAGAAAGACCAAGAAACCAAACAACAGAAGACCATTTCCAAGGGATGGAGAGACATAATTCCAAATGAACCACGGCAAACACAGATGAGCTTTTTGAGGTGGGCATCGATTCTTGCTGGAGCAGAAAAGCTTTGCTAAATAACTGACGCTGCAATTAACTGCATCCACACCAAACCCCCAGAACGCCTGGGCTGGGCTCCACCCCGACAGGCAGGGTGCCTCACCACAAAGCACAAGGGGCGGCTACAGGAGCGTGCAGGTGCCCGGCTTCTCACACCATTAAAAGCCTATTTCCGAGTCAGCACTTCACATGACACAACATATTGCTTCACGTAATAGTGTGACCGACGGAGCTGCCGCTCACTAGCCAAGAGAAAGCCGTCATTCAAAAACAGAGTATAAAGCTTGCACTTTACGTCTTCAAAATGTTTTCCTGTATCAGCATCTTTGTTAATTAAGATTTTAATGTGAATATGCAGTTACGTCCGTTGGAATACATAGGATACATGCCATATACAATCTGGCCACAAAATACCTTATGACTGACAATTGGCTCAATAATTTCCACCTAGAAATGAATTCACAACTTTAGATTTGTCAAATAATTTCCACCACAATCCCAAGGTGTGGGTAAAATCCTACACTTTACTGAAATAATTGTGAAATTACCCACCGACTAGGGAATGTCATCCTGATACGTCTTTTACTTGAACAAAATGGAACAGTAAAACAGTACTTCAAGAAAAGGCAGCAAACTCGTATTCAATGGGAGCACACCCTAAACATGATGGCGAGCGCGCAAGTGTTGGATTCAACTTACAGAGAAAAGAAAAAGAAACAAAAGAGGAAATTTAGGAACGTGCCAAATGTGAGTGAGTTTATTTTCATGTGTTCACAGCAGGATACTCTCCTGCTGCTCAGAAACACCGTACAATGGGTTTGCTATCAGCTCTGAATAAAGATGGATGCTTTTCTGCGCTCAGGTACTCTATCTGGATTTTTGCTTTTCATTTACTGGGAAAAAATCTGATACTGCTTATGGAATTAAAGCTTCCCCTGGGGTTAAACAATTCACACGGTGACGATTTCTGAATGCCTGCTTACTTGCACATAGCTTCAATTATGTAAGTTTTATAAAGGTCAGATACGTTTCTTAACAATGCTGAAGCCAACATAGAGACACCAAAATTAACCGGAGAGATTAAATACAGTCAGGCAAGTTAACCTGCCTAATTTCACGACTATTATTACTTTTATGATTACATATGTATTCTGCCTGTGCTCTGTGGTCTACTGTTTGCAGGTTACAACAGCAAGCAATGCTAAGTACTTGTTAACATGTGGTTTCCATCCATGTTGATTTTATGGATATTAACCTGAAATTAAGTCAACACAAAAGAAAAAAATCAAGTATTTTCAGAGGCAACACAAGCCTGAATCTCCTGACAGCTGCTGTGCTTTGGCAGAATTTTAAGATACATACATTTTCCCCTCCCATTGCTTTTACATTATGTATGTAAAAGAGAGAAACCAAGTTTTCAGGGAAAAGCATGGCTTTAACTGTGATGGATACCGATTTGTTACACATCACTCTAATTCAGAAACAAGATAAGAGATACAGGTTGCATACTTCAAACACTTCAGTACCAGAACTCCCATCTCTGCTGCTTTAATTCAGAGATAGTTGGCAGAACACATCAGAATCCCGCTCGACAGACACTTGAAAGCAAGCGGAGGCAACCAAAAGCTCCCTCGCGGTGCATTTCTGTATGATGTGGCACACAAAGCTGCCTCCAAGAGATCAAGCATCAGACAGACCCAATGACCCTACTCCGTTGAGTGTGTCAAGACAGCAGGAAAAGAGAGGATAAACACCTAAAAAGCAAGTTACATATCCTACTTGCAATGAAATAGGTCTCAGAATCATCCTTTAGTTCCTCGCCCCCAACTACTGGTCCCGAACCAAGTCAGGCCCCTGAGGGCACTATGGTGAATTCAGAGGGGTCTGAAGCTTTTGGTCCACTAAGCCGCAGAACTGTGAATTCCACAGAAATGGGCAACAGCTAGTGACCTGGGAGAATTAACCTGGGAAGGGCGCGTGATCCAGGTGCGCCATAGCACTGCCACTCGCTGCCCAGGTTCTCTCAGAATAGCACAAAGCAATTTGGAAAGCAACAGATAAGGATGCTGGGCATAACTTGAATTTAACACAAGTAACAAAGGTGAAAGAAGGGTGATTTCTAAATTGAAGCTGCACTTTTAAATAACCAGCAGCAACAAAAGCAAGTGAGTCGTCTTTATTACCACCAGCAGGCAGACCCAAAACAACTGTGGATGCGTAGTTGTGGCCGAAGGACATGAACAGTCTGTAAAACGTTATCATGTGGAAACTTGATACTTCTGGCTGAATAGCGTTGGTTTCCAGAGCTGATTAAGACATCTTCAGCACAGCTGTAACCATACACCAGAGGTATCTTCTGTACCTGGGAAACTGTTTCTGAACTCCAGGCTAATCCTCTAAACTTGACATTCAAAACTTGTTTTGAAAGTATGACCTATCGGCCCTCAGGCAAAACAGTAAGACCAACCCCTCTTAATTCCCTTGCCAACTATTCTATAACATAGTAATTCTTAAATACTCTTGTGCTGTTTTCAGTTGTAGTCCACATATGTTAACTACGGAGTAATTACCAAACACCACTTGACTGCAATGGTCCTCAGAAGGCTGAAGGTAATTGCATGTGCAGAGCCAGGCGCACAGATTGCAGTCTGCCAGTGGAGCAGAATAAGCATAAAGACTCGACCGTTTCAGAAGTACAGGGCAATTTTTGCACCACTTAATACGTATTTGATGGAATACTAAAACAAAGCTGTCCTAGGGAGATGTCTAAGCATAAAACCTCTCTGCAGAGAGAAACATTTCTTAAAGGACACACACTAACCTCTAACAGGTTTTGTTGAAGTCTCCTCATATTGGTACGTCACTCCATAACTGCCGTCTCAGGCGGCAGCGTTCGTTTTTGGGTTTTAACATTCCCACTTAGCATGTGATACTAGCTTATTTCAAATGCAGGATTTGGGATTTTAAGCACCACTGGGGTAATTACAGCTATCAATTTCTTTAATGCGCTGAAGGTCTCCCCAGTCTTCCAGGTGCACCCTCCTGAGATGGGCTTACCAGGAGAGAATGAAGCTGCTTGCAAGACTCCTGGGTATTTTCATGCCGAAAATATGCCCTAAATAATGCCAGTTTAACGGTTCTCATACCCTTAAAAATTAGCTGCTTGGAATCATATGTGCCCGTTTGGCTGAATACATTCATATCTCTGCTACGAAAAATATGGCCCTATCAACTGCTTCTTTATGAGCTTGTTATAAACCAGGGATACGACAGTGCACAACAGTACTTATTTTCTATTTCATCAAGAAGTAATTCCCCCAGGCATTAAGATGTGACATAAAATCTTTTAATATATTGAGCAATTTCATTAAGTTCTCTGTAAAGAAAGCAAAATGCAGCATGAAATACAAAAGCTTTTAAAACATGCCAGGGAATTTCAGTGGGAAGGTAACAAATTATGCAAGCCACAGGCCTATATTACACATTAAAAAGTTGGCTGAGACGTTAAACAACCACAGAAACATTTTTATATAATATGATTTAAGATCTATTGTTCAAGAACTCGAGAGCAAACATTTACTCTTTGCTGATTAATATTAGCAACTTAAAAAACAAAACAAAACAAAAAAGGCATCCTTCTGATGACTGAAATATATTCCCAGGCAGAATTCAGGCATCGTAGTTCTTTCCACAGGCTACCTCCAAATAAAGCACAGCCAAGGATCACCCAAGAGATTAACCACCAGGAGAACTTAACACAGCAGAGTTTTCCCACTTTCCCAATTTTACTTTTTCCTGCTTTTGAAGGGGCTGCTGTGAACTCTTACCCTCTTCTGCACGGAAGAAGCGATCTTCAGAGACGCCTTCTTTGCGGGGGACCTTTCCGTAGCTCCGGGTTTCCACAGCAACAGCTGAGCATCCTCCCCACCCGTCAGCAGAGACTCCTCTGCCACGTTCCAGCAGAAGGAGCGAACAGTGGCAGCGTGTCCTCCGCAAAGGGTACCCACCAGGTGCAGTCCATCGGTGTCACAGCTGATTAGGTGAATGGTTCCTGTGGACGTTCCCCCAACAAGAAAGAGTTTGTCCGCCTTTTCGTGGTACAAGCCTCCTACCAGGTAATGTAAGCTGTTGTTTCCAACACAGACTGCATCTCTGACATCCAGAACATGCAGTAGTGTTATTGGTTCTTCAGTATCTAACTGAGCAATGTCCCACCAACAAAATCCCTCATCGTGTGTCATGCAGTAGACCTGTTTATAATCTTTTCCAGACCAGCCAATAAAACTTATTGATGAATCTGAATTGCAAGTCGATACCAAAGCATCATCTTCGTTATCCTTGTTAATGTCAAACACATTAACCAACCCATCAGTTGATCCAGAAACTACCAAATTGGGTTCAATAGGATGAAAACAAATTTTAGTGATATCATCATTGTGACTTTCAGAATAGACTCCCAAGGGTTCTTTAGCTGCACTGGCACAGTTTGTAATGCCTCTTGCATCCCAGAACACCAGAAATGTGTCCTTTCCAACCTTTTCTGTTCCAGCACAAATTATGAGATCACTGCAGTTGATATCAAAACTGATGAAAACATTAGAAGGATAGCCCCTAAATATCTGGACAGCTTTTTGAGTTGCTAAACGAATATCCCAACATTTTACTGTACCATCACTGCATGCTGAAAACACTATGCTGTCACATGTGTGTGCAAATCTGACTCCATTAAGTATCCCAGGACAGCTACTGTACTCCCGCAGGAAGTTTAATGTTTCCCTGTTATATACCCTAATTGACTTATTGGAACACGAAACTGCCACAAAGCGACTGCTTTCAGGTTGAGCAGATTTGGAAATGTCTATATCCAGTAAGTAAGCAGGTTCCTCGCTTAGCATAGAACGTTTTGCTATGTGCAGACTAGCAAGCTGCTCCTCAATCTTCTCCACTGCAGTCATCTCAAATGCTGTTCCTAACGTTGTCAGAAACCTGTAATAAATAAAATACAAGGTGAATTTTAATTGCAACATTCTTAAAAAATATGTACAAAAAAGTACGTTGCACAGAAATGACACATGAAGTCAAAATTCAATTATCCTGATGTCCTACCCACTACAACTTCATTTACAGAAACGGAGAACTAGAAAGGGCTCCCTGAGTTAAGGAGTTCAGTCTCCTGTGACTGTAAGCACTACATCATATAATCCCCTTAAAAGATTAAATAGTCTGTCTGTGAATCCTGTGAAAGTCACTTAGCTAAATTTGCTTTATTATTTTTATAAAGTAAATAGTAAAGTGATGTTCTCCATAAACAAAGAAAATGAAGTCACCACCACTACACGAGAAGAAATCATTTTTGTTTTAAAAAGTTGCTAGGAGGCACAGCCCACAAACAGGTGCATCAGTTCAACTGCAATACACTTCTTACATGAACTTCTCTGCTGAGGGATGCACAAAGGGAACACACAGAGAACAAGACCAAAATTACATAGAACTACAGCCTGAAATGGCCAAATGAGATAAATTTTACAAGTATTTAGATGCCCAATGATGCACATAAACACCTGTCAGCATACCACGGACCACCTAAACAGGCTACGTGACATCAGTGCAATTGGAATGAAGCACCTTTGTTTTTTTCATCAATTCTCCTAAGAATCTAAATGGTTTTTGAGCCTCATACAAAACCACATAATGCTGGCTCTTACGGCAACTGATAAAAAATCTTCCCTTCAGAGGCAATTCTTCTCCAGCACTACTGAACTCCCCTAGAAACCCAAATTATTTCAGCAACGTACACAAATTCAAATTTTACCAAGTAAGACCAAAATTAAGAGAGATATTTGCCATCATAAACAATACATGATTTTAGTGAGTTCACAAACTACAACCATTCTTAAAAGATGTCGGTGGGGTACATAAGTAAGCATAACCATCCACATGAATGATTTCTGTTCTTCAGGTTCAGTTAGACTACTCTTCTGTGTTTAAAAAAACCAAACATTGAGGGAATCACAGCAGGTTCTAGGAAGTCAACACTCCAGTGACTTCTCACTGGTACAGATATTTCAGGTAAAGCAGTACTCAAAAATCTCCTTATTTCCTTAAGGACTAGGCCAGGACGGAATCCTACTTACCACATACATGAAAGGACCCTTTTGGGAAAAATCCAAACAGAAATGGAGTAAAAACCAGGCAGACCCAGAATGCAAGAAAATATTCTCATGCCTTCCCAGCTTCCCTATCATAAATTTTTCTGCAAATTCTTCAGGCTGGATTTTTAGGGATGGAACAAGCAAGTTTCCATGTATTACTTTTTTTAGGGTAATTGTTTTAACGGTCCATAAGAGACTAGTAACAAAGGAAAAGTTGCTATGACAAAACTGCATTCTGCTTTTTTTTTTTCTTCTTGGTGTTGTTTGTAGTTTCAGGGGTTTGCTTTCCCTCCTCCTATTTGCTACACAAAAATATTCATGACGCTATGTGACAAACGAGCAAATTCTTAAAAAACAGCTTAAGTAGGCACACTCATAAAAGCTTAATTCCCAAGTCACAAATAATCTCACTAAGCTATTTGCCTCAGTAATATCCTGACAATGAGGTCCCCAGGTTAATCTTCTACATCAAAGTAACCTTTCAGAGCACATCTACAAGTAATTTTTGCCATAAAACACAGACATCCTGTGGAAACTCCTTTCTGAAGACAAGTTGTTCAACATGTTTTCTGGCATTACCCTGCGTACAACCCTACCCGCAGAGCTTGCTCCTTACTTTTCTGGATCTGTCCTCACAAGGAACAAGCTTTTACTAGAGCTACTACATAAAGCAGACAGCTCTCAAACACTGCTTGCTACACTGCTCAAACACAGAACTATTAAACTTCCACACAAATTAATGATTTAGATTTAAGAAATAAAATATTTTAAAATTATTAATGACAACTTTTACTTAATCCAATTTACTGAAGAATTACAATGGAAGCTTCTATTGAAATGTCCTTTCAAAAACACATGCTTGCAGGCAAAGAAAGGAGTTTTCATAAACCAGCTATCCTGTAGTGCTATGGTTACAAAAAAATTGGGTTCTCTTTGTAAACTTTTTGAAAGAAAAATGTAGTTTTCCAGACTGACCTCAATTTCAAGCTCTAACTATTCAGACTCTTTATATTCAAAAGGCCAAGTAAATTCACACAGACATGTTCCTGACAAATGTCATCCATTTGGAAAGCAAGCTGCAATTGTTTAAATATTACTGACTTTGATACAGAATATTATTCAATGAGCAGTTTCTACAACATTGATGACAGAGCTTTTACTGCTGGGGACAGTGAGGGAACTCTACAAATACCCAGAAGTTGTAAAAAGCCAGAGTCTGCAAAAGCATGTTCATTCAGATTTAATAATATTTTCTGGGAAATAAAATTAGCCCAAGATAGCTCTTAAGCTTTTACCCCCAAATGACACAGGTGCAGCTATTCTGAAATACCAGAAAATGCTGTTCATGTTTCCATATAGATGTCCAATTTATATCATCAAGAAGCTGGAGGGTACAGTTTTCAAATCTATTTCCACTGCAACAACTAAGAAGCCTTAAAATTGCATTTGATGGCAGCCGTGTTTTTGCTAAAAATGCTTTAAATGTCTGCCCTAGTAAGAAAGTCTTCAGACTATTATGAAATTGTGATTGAAGGTTATATAAACAATTCATGCTCAAACTTCAGGGTGTAGCTGCCAGCCCTTCCTTTTCAGAAGGGGAAGTCACTGTTGTATTTTGATGGGGAAGTTTAAATGGCAGGAATAGGATCTGTGTTAAATTTATGAGACAAATAGGAAACAATGGTCTTCCAAACACAATAGAAGATAACTAAGCATTGGACCGCAGCCACCTACAAAGCACATGGTGCTCTGCACCACAGAAGTCAAGCACTTTTAGTTTAGCACTCCTTAACTTCAACAACACAGCTATCTGTTTTGTTTCTGCCACGCAGAATCCTTTGGCAAAGTCAGTACCTTTGAAACTCGACATACTTTCAATATAGCCCAACAGCCAGTTGTGATGATCAATAAGGAAAACTGCTCACGCTGATGTGACAAACTGCCACAAAGACTGTAGGGCACAGACAGCTTGCTCCTGAGCTGCTCCAGTCTCAGAAGAAATTGCAGAGCATGCTGGCCAAAAACTCTTCCTTCCCCAAGGTAACTCCTTCGCTCAGAACGTGAGGTGGTTAATGAAATTCAGGTTCTTCACTTATTCCAACTCACAGTGGCCCACAGTCTGGATCTGCAGTCTCAACAGAGACAAAATCCAGGTGATGTTAAGGTGCCAGCAAAACACCACCACTTAGATGAGACATGAGTATCTGGCTGGAGTTGTCTGGCTATGGCTAGGCACTTGTGTTTGAAAGAGAACTCCAATCCCATCCTCAGTGATCACCATTCCTCGTGTGTAACAGCTGCATCGCTCATCTGCATTCACATCTGCACCCCCTGAACAAGGTCCAGCCACCTTTTACAAATTAACCCCAAAACATCTGTGTTACTGTGTCTCGTCCTCTGGAAGTACCTTCACCTGATCTTTTCTATGAATTAACTTCACCGTTATATGCAGCCCCTGCACATCTCCTCGACATCACAACTCCCAGAAACAATAAGCTCCTTGAAGGACACTCCAAACTCATGACATCTTGGGAACTCAGAATAAATACAGTCCTCTGAAATAACCTAAAATATTTTGACCTCCAGGGCATCCTACGAGGCTCCTTTAAAAAAGAAATAAGCTTGGCTTTTAGAATAGAAGGCATGAAGTAGAAGGGATGCCAAAGAGGCGGGACGGGATTTTCAGATGCCTTTGTTATGTATTTCTCACTGGTGGAGTGTGGAAACAACCGCAGAGCAAGACTAGAAGCAAACAGCGAGGGGTGCTGAAAGCAGGCCTCTCCAATGACTGAGAAATTAAAGGTAAGCACCTATTTGCACAAACTAAACATTTGATATTGTCTCAGCATACACTGCTGTGCTCTTTGTGTGCTATTCTAAACATTGCAGTCTCAACTCAAGCCAACGGTCTCATGAGTCCTCTTCAATCCAGAAAGTTTTTCAAAAAAACAAACCAGCAATTCATATTTTCCTCCTCCTTCTAGTGGTGTACGTAAGATGCTGCCAAATTGCTTAGTTTGCATTTCCAAAAGGGAATGTTAGCTCAACAACATATAGAAACATAAAATTACCTCTCTGAAAAGTACCATGGAAAATGTGGGAGAAATGAAACTTTCTCAAAGATTTAATCAGTAACGTAAGACTAACTTATGAGTAGGAGGGTAAAAACACGTAATAAAAATGAAAACAACCTGTAGTTTTGGCAATCTTCTCCGCAGAGGTCAAATACCGAAAATAGCAAGGGATTTGAACAGCAGTAGATGAAATCTTGCACTGTTCTTTCCTACTATAAACAATACAAGCAGACCCTCCCTTTATTTTCATGATTATTAAAAGTTCAAGAACAAACTAAGAACAAACCTGAAGCTCTGGGCAGTGGAAAGCAGTTCATGCATGCCACATTACATGTGGTTTGCATTTTAAAACAAAAAGGCCAAGCGCAAGGTTGGCTGAGGAGAACGCATTAGCACGCTGCACTTCACTAACGCAAAACGCCTTCAGAGACCTCTCCTCACTGGCACCGCTTCACAACAGAAGATGGATCAGCCAGATGATCCAAGCACTGAGGGGAAGCGCAAAACACCCATCAGGCATGCGTAATTTCTGCAGGATACAAACTCCTATAGTTGATTTTGTTATTTTACCAAAGCAGAAGAGATAAGGCGTTTTTCCAGCATTCCCACAAAGCTGTTTTAAGGCAAAGAGACTAGCACTTAGTCTATCAAGCAGGGAGGGAACAAGATGCGCGAGAGGCTACGCTGAAGTGCAGAGACAAGATGTAAACTGCCAAGAGAATTATTTCATCCTTTCAAATCAGCTACATCTAGTTTCCAA